ATATCATTATAAAAATGTTTTCTAACATAATCTTTCAAGTCCTTTTATAAAATATTCAGAATATAATTGAGAATGGAAATGGGGAATGTGTCAAAGAGACAACAACCCGACCATAGAGCAGACAACAGCCGAAGGCCACCAATGGGTCTTCAATGCAGCGAGAAACTCCCGCACCCGGAGGCGTCCTTTAGCTGGCCCCTAAACAAATATGTATATTAGTTCAGTGATAATGGACGTCATACTAAACTCCAAATTTTACACAAGAAACTAAAATTAAAAATGATACAAGACTAACAAAGGCCAGAGGCTCCTGACTTGGGACAGGCGCAAAAATGCGGCGGAGTTAAACATGTTTTTTGAGATCTCCCCCCTCCCCCCATACCTCTAGCCAATGTAGAAAAAACAAACGTACAACAGTACGCATAAACAATGTTTAATATCAGAGACAGATTTAGGAGTGGGGTGCCTTTATGGCCCTTATGGAGCTACATTTATGGTTAATCCAGATTTTTTTATTACTCTCAAAACTTTGTCTAGTTTGGGGTATGATGACCCCTTTCTATGCCCCCGCAACTGAAAGTTGGGGGGAGGGGGCATATTATTTTACCCCGGTCTGTCTGTCCGTCCGTCCCATTATGGGTATATAGTTATTCAGCATAACTCCTCCTACAGTTAGAATCCTAGGAAGTTTTCACTTTGCTGTCTGTTTGTACATATATTGAAGATGTGCATGTGGTCAGGGTTTTGATTTTTATTAATATTTGCTCTTTTGGGAGATACAATGTAGTTGAACTTTGTCATTTTTGGGGTATAAGCGGTTAAATGTTATAGTTATTTTAAAATAACACTTTGCATCTACGGGGGCATCAATTGTGTCTCCCAGACACAATAATATCTCAAAGAAAGTCCTACATTGACTTTGTTTTAATACAGTTACTTCAGAGTGGATTGGGGGGGATCACTTTATTTAGATTCAAAATCCTGGATCAACATTTGAGAAAACAACTGCCGTCATACTGATCTTTACCCCACATCTCCTTTTACATTTGTCTGCATGCTGTTGATGCCGGCTTAATCTACATATATTTTGGCTATTTTTGTCGGGTTGATGTCTCATTGACAAACCCCAATATTTCCTGTCTTAGATATCAATTTTATTGAATAGTCCATTTTTTTGTATTTTGCACTGAACACATATGAAAAAGAAGATGTGGTATGATTGCCAATGAGACAACTCTCCACAAGAGACCAAATGACACAGAAATAATTACAACTATAGGTCACCGTACAGCCTACAACAATGAGCAAAGCCCATACCACATAATTTGTTTCACTTGCATAGAGGTATTAATTTTTTCAGATTATAAATATCCTCATGCATTTCATTTGGTCCAGCATTGAACAAATTTTTTACTTAGAAGTGTTTTTTTATCTTTTGTTTGATCATGTGTAGCATCTGTCATTTTCTGTCTGAACAGCTTTTCGATGGTTTTTTTTTTTGCTGTCTTGGTCAACAATACACAAGATAACAACAATAAGAAATGCAAAAATTTTATTTAATTTTGTCATTTCACTGTTCTTTTTCATTTTTTCTTTTGTTCCATTCTTTTTATTTCTCTTGACTTCTGCTGGCATCTGTAAAGAAAATGTTAACAAATTAGTCCTGTTGTTTAGTGAGTAAACTAGTGGAGATAATTTAAATTTCACCAAATTACACAAGAAAATTTTATTTTAATCCAGTCTGGTTTCATAAAAATTTATATTGAAAAGCGACATCTAATCAGTGTGGCTGGATTCGGAAGGAATATTCATAGCTATTAGATATGCACGTACATCTGTGGAGTTTCAGGTGTATTATTATCATACGAGTCTGTAACGGTAGAGTTCACCAGTACTAAAATAAAACTGTACAGTACCATTTTCCCAACTGAGATTAGGTCCTGTAACCTTTACTTGGTCTTAACACAAATACATTTTTGTGATATAGATTGAGGCTATAAAAGGATAAATACCTTCACACAATCTGCTCCTCCAGAATGTTTTGAACCTAAGCTTATACATTTTGGCTCCTCTAATTGATTCTACAAAAGATAAAAAAAAAGACAAAATATCAAATAAAATACAGTCAAGAAAAAATCACATTGTACAAGTCAGCTACAAAGGTCACAACATTCAAAAATGAAAGAAAATTCAAACAAGAAAACTAATGGCTTGATTTTAAATTATAAAATAAGACAATAAAAAAACAAATATATATGTATATATATCAGAAATTAACCAACTATAACTACTAGATTAAAGGCTCCTGACTAGGATTGACACATTAACAATTATCTATACTTACAAAAAATGTATCTGGCCTGGCCTGAAGGGCTAGCGATTAATCACAGGCACTTGTCTCAGAAAAAATTTCCTATATGCCTTAATATAACACGTGTTATATATTGAGGTATATAGGAAATTTTTTTCTGAGACAAGTGCCTGTGCGATTAATCATGAAAACTGTATAATGAATATATTGTCTTTCATGGTTACAAATATCTATCAGTAGAAAATGTTATCTATCAGTAGAAAATGTCTGCAATATTTCACTATTTTATATTACTTTACTAACTAATACATTGTTGATGACGCTGAAAACAGCATACCTAATATATGCTATGTCTTGCTTTTGGACTCTGTCAAGGCAAGACAAAAAGGAAAGAAATCAATGATTCAAGTTCAAATATATTGATGGATTGTTGGAATCTTAATGTCCAGTGACAAATATTTAATGCATGTTCCAGCCAAAGTTTAATTAAACAAGCTAAGGAATGGTTTGAATTTTTTTTAAACATGTAGGTAAAGATTTTTTAAAGTACTATTACATAGATTAAAATGTTAGGATTACAAAGGAGGTTTCTGCTTGCCATGAAATATTTGAAAAACAAGATATCAAGTGGATTTAATGGTATAACTAATAAAATTTTGAAAAATTCTTGTATGCTGAATGTTGGGCATGATATGTATATAAAATTATGAAACACTACTTTTTTCTTAAAAATTAATAAAATTTTCTCTCTAGCAAGAAGTTCTTATTGGAGAGAAAATTTATTTAACCCATATTCAAAGGAAGATGTTTTAATAGCCCTTCAAACCATAGAGGTATAACCCTTTTTACTAGTTTAGGAACATTTTTTTCTAGAGAATAATAGTTTAGAAAACTATTTAGAATCATATAAGATTATCTGCCAAGAACAGATAGGATTCAAAAAAGGACGTAGAACTATAGGGACCACATTTCTAAGTTTAAAAAATATTTAGTTGGGTTAGTTTTCATAATTATTTTCTAATCAATTTTGAAGAATTTGAATTATTCCATATTTAAATAATTCCTTGTTTGAACTTGAATTACAAATAAAACTTCATTATAGATGTATATATCTTTAAAATTTCCAAAAATGGCCCCATCATGTTATATGTAAAAAGTTTGCAGAGAAGGGCCTTTATATTTTTTTTACACTGTCTTTTTTTTAAGTTGATGAAGCTGAGACATATTAAAAGATTTAAAGCTTAAAAATGTAGAATCATGTCTTGTTTAAAAGTGGTATTGGGAGGATTTAATACTTTCCTTGTGTAATTGTCCCATTTTCAAAAGTAATAAATTGTTTATATATAACTGGGACTATAATACTATTAGTATAATAGTCCCAGTGTATAACAAGTTAAATTTAATTTTCCCTTGCCCAGTCTGCATGGTTTATATCACATTTCATGGCCAACAGATAATATCTGTATAGAACCCCTATTTTTAATTATTATTATACAAAATCATTTAAATGTATCCTAGAAAGTTTAATTATACATTCATGACTATTTATAAGTTCAGTGGGTTTTTTGTTGTTGTTTTTTTTCTAACTTGGGGTACATGTATTTGTCACTTGGTATTTCACTAAATATTTCATATAAAATTGCATTTCAAAAGATTATTTAGGGGACATTTCTGATTTGATTTTATGCAACTTGGTACCAACAGCAGAATAATTATTTGTTTATTTTCATTTTCTTCTGAGATAAACATAAATATTATTGTCTATTATAAACAATCTTGCTATATATTTATATTTCAACCAAATTGAATTGTAAAAAATAGTACATGTGTTCACATCAGGAGAAAATAAAAACAACTGATGACAGAGCTATGACAAAACAATCAAATACTCTTTATATACAATTCAGCGTTTTTCAACACATTATTTGTAAAAATACAACCATAAATGCCTCCAATAAACGTGTTTTTATATGAAATATATAGCCCAAAAATGTAGGTACCGAAATCTTTTTGGCCATGTACTGTAGCGGCGTTTCCGCTTTATATAATAGAAGAAATCTCAATATTTTTTTAAATACATCGTTTACCTTTCTATAAGATCTATAGTTCTGTCTCTTGTGACAGCTCCATGTAACGTTAGTTCTGGAACAGACCAGGTGATGTAATCATCGGATGCCATTGTTTACGTTGTAAATACAGATGCAAGCGTTTTACGTGATTGAAGCGTTCAAGTAACCACTTATGGAACCGCAGCGCCGCCACGCGTGAAAAGTCGTGAATGATTCCTATTATCTGCCTTTTTACAGGCAAAAGTATATATAAACCATATATTTTTGGAATCAGAGTAAAAAAATCTATCATTTGAGACCGGAAGTGATATTTTTTAAACCGGAAGTAGCCAGTTATCTGCCTTTTTTCAGGCAAAAGTATATATAAACCATATATTTTTGGAATCAGTGTAAATAAAGCTATTATATGAGACCAGAAGTGACATTTTCTAAACCGGAAGTTGACAATTATCTCCCTTATTTCAGGCAAAAGTCTAAAGAAACCATATGTTTATTGAATCAGTATGAAGAAACCTATGATTGGACGCCAATAGTAGCTTTGAGTAAACCAGAATTAGCTTCTCATCAATTATTTAGAAAATTGATGTGGAAAGACCTTCAATTGTTCTTTGAACAATTGGTTTTTAATTTTTTTTTTTTTTTCTTCCGCCAAATTTTGTTCTTGCGATAAATATTTGTTTCGCAATATGTCGCTTAGATATTTGGTATATGATATCGAACAGTTTATGCGCCTTTGAAATTTACCCTGCGAAACCAAATAATTTTCTCTGTAGGAGTTATCTCCCCGAACACTGTTTTCCTTGTGCACGCATCTCCTCCGTAACCGTAAAAGAAAGTGACAAATTTATTTTAACAAATTGCTCGTTATATCCTCAGGATGTTTTGTCCAATTTTGACCGAAGCGATACGTAAACTCCATATGAGAGTTATTTCCCCTTCTGTATTTGACATAAGGGATATATAAATGTATAGCATGAATGGTAAGTGATAGAGACCTAAGGTATATTGATTTGAGTTCCTTGGTTCATTTAAATGAAATTGAGGCCAAGGTCAAAGGTCAAGGTTATATTCTAAATTTTGACTTTTCCTTGTTATTTGATCTCCTCTGTCACTTTTAAAATTACAAATTAAAGAACTAGTGCAAAATGTTTGCTTAATTGTGATTAAGATATGATACATTTGGTCTGATATAATCCAATGATATCTTATATGAGTTATTGTCCCTGAAATGATTCAATTTAAGGTTAATTGATTATTACTCCAACTTGGTACATGATAAAGCCATAAGATCTTTTGCAAAATGTTGGGTGACATATGACCTAGAAAAATGTCAACCGGAAGTGACCTTGAGTGAACCAGGAGTAGTCATTTTTGCACTTATTTCATGTAGAAGTACATAGAAACCATATATTTTTTGAATGGTCATACATTAATCTATCATTTGAGACCGGAAGTGATATTTTATAAACCGGAAGTAGCATATTATCTCCCTTATTACAGGCATAAGTATATATAAACCATATATTTTTGGAATCAGTGTAAATAAGCTATCATATGAGACCGAAAGTGACATTTTCTAAACCGGAAGTAGCCAATTATCTCCCTTTTTACAGGCAAAAGTATATATAAACCATATATTTTTGGAATCAGTGTAAAAAAATCTATCATATGAGACCGGAAGTGACATTTTCTAAACCGGAAGTAGTCAATTATCTCCCTTTTTACAGGCGAAAGTATATATAAACCATATATTTTTGGAATCAGTGTAAATAAATCTATCATATGAGACCGGAAGTGACATTGTTTAAACCGGAAGTTGACAATCATCTCCTTTATTTCAGGCAAAAGTCTATAGAAACCATATGTTTATTGAATCAGTATGAAGAAACCAATGATTGGACGCCAATAGTAGCTTTGAGTAAACCAGAATTAGCTTCTCATCAATTATTTAGAAAATTGATGTGATAAGACCTTCAATTGTTCTTTGAACAATTGGTTTTTAATTAGGTCTTTCCACTTTTCTGTGGAAAGACCTATTGGTTTTCTTCTGATTATTTTTTTTTTTTTTTTCTTCCGCCAAATTTTGTTCTTGCGATAAATTTTTGTTTCGCAAGATGTCGCTTAGATGTTTCGTATATGATATCGAACAGTTTATGCACCTTTGAAATTGACCCTGCTTAACCGAATACTTTTCTTTGTAGGAGTTATCTCCCCGAGAACTGTTTTCCTTGTGCATGCATCTCCTCCGTAACCGTAAAAGAAAGCGACAAATTCATTTTACCAAATTGCTTGTTATATCCTCAGGATGTTTTGTCCAATTTTGACCGAAGTGATACGTAAACTCCATATGAGAGTTATTTCTCCTTCTGTATTTGACATAAGGGATATATAAATGTTTAGCATGAATGGTAAGTGATAGAGACCTAAGGTATATTGATTTGAGTTCCTTGGTTCATTTAAATGAAATTGAGGCCAAGGTCAAAGGTCAAGGTCATATTCTTAATTTTGACTTTTCCTTGTTATTTGATCTCCTCTATCACTTTTAAAATTACAAATTAAAGAACTAGTGCAAAATGTTTGCTTAATTGTGATTAAGATATGATACATTTGGTCTGAAACAATCCAATGATATCTTATATGAGTTATTGTCCCTGAAATGATTCAATTTAAGGTTAATTGATTATTACTCCAACTTGGTACATAATAAAGCCATAAGATCTTTTGCAAACTGTTGGTTGACATATGAACTTGAAAAAAGTAAACCGGAAGTGACTTTGAGTGAACCGGAAGTAGTATTTTTTGCACTTATTTCATGGAAAAGTACCTAAAAACCATATATTTTTTGAATGATCATAGGTTAACCTATCATTTTAGACCGGAAGTAGCATATTATCTTCCTTATTACAGTCATAAGTATATACAAACTATATATTTTTTGGAATCAGTGTGAATAAAACTATCATATGAGACCGGAAGTGACATTTTCTAAACCAGAAGTTGGCAATTATCTCCCTTATTTCAGGCAAAAGTATATAGAAACCATTTATTTATTGAATCAGTATGAAGAAATCTATACTTTGACGCTATTAATAACTTTGAGTAAACCAGAAGTAGCTTCCTATCAATTATTTAGAAAATTGATGTGGAAAGACCTTCAATTGTTCTTTGAACAATTGGTTTTTAATTTTTTTTTTTTTTCTTCCGCCAAATTTTGTTCTTGCGATAAATTTTTGTTTCGCAAGATGTCGCTTAGATGTTTCGTATATGATATCGAACAGTTTATCTTTTGAAATTGACCCTGCTTAACCGAATACTTTTCTTTGTAGGAGTTATCTCCCCGAACACTGTTTCCCTTGTGCATGCATCTCCTCTGTAACCGTAAAAGAAAGCGACAAATTTATTTTAACAAATTGCTCGTTATATCCTCAGGATGTTTTGTCCAATTTTGACGGAAGCGATACGTAAACTCCATATGAGAGTTATTTCCCCTTCTGTATTTGACATAAGGGATATATAAATGTATAGCATGAATGGTAAGTGATAGAGACCTAAGGTATATTGATTTGAGTTCCTTGGTTCATTTAAATGAAATTGAGGCCAAGGTCAAAGGTCAAGGTCATATTCTAAATTTTGACTTTTCCTTGTTATTTGATCTCCTCTGTCACTTTTAAAATTACAAATTAAAGAACTAGTGCAAAATGTTTGCTTAATTGTGATTAAGATATGATACATTTGGTCTGAAACAATCCAATGATATCTTATAGGAGTTATTGTTCCTGAAATGATTCAATTTAAGGTTAATTGATTATTACTCCAACTTGGTACATGATAAAGCCATAGAGTCTTTTGCAAACTGTTGGTTGACATATGACCTTGTAAAAAGTAAACCGGAAGTGACCTTGAGTGAACCGGAAGTAGTATTTTTTGCACTTATTTCATGGAAAAGTACCTAGAAACCATATATTTTTTGAATAATCATAGGTTAACCTATCATTTGAGACCGGAAGTGACATTTTATAAACCGGAAATAGCATATTATCTTCCTTATTACAGGCATAAGTATATACAAACTATATATTTTTGGAATCGGTGTGAATAAAGCTATCATATGAGACCGGAAGTGACATTTTCTAAACCGGAAGTTGGCAATTATCTCCCTTATTTCAGGCAAAAGTATATAGAAACCATTCATTTATTAAATCAGTATGAAGAAATCTATACTTTGACGCTATTAATAACTTTGAGTAAACCAGAAGTAGCTTCCTATCATTTATTTAGATAATTGATGTGGAAAGACCTTCAATTGTTCTTTGAACAATTGGTTTCTAATTATTATTATTATTAGGTCTTTCCACTTATCTGTGGAAAGACCTATTGTATTTGTTCTGATTATTAGGTCTTTCCACTTTTCTGTGGAAAGACCTATTGTATTTGTTCTGATTATTATTATTATTATTTTTTTATTTTTTTTCCGCCAACTTTTGAAATTTTTGTTTCGCAATATGTCGCTTAGATATTTCTCATATTGTATCGTATAGTTTATGCGCTTTTAAATTTCACCCTGCTAAGCCAAACAATTATCTTTTTTCCTCAGGAATTTTTGGCTAATTTGGATCGAAGCGATTCGATGAAATTTTATAGGAGTTATCTACCTTTACAAAATAAATTTGTCGGTATGATTTTTTAACTTATAAACCTTTAACCATATAACCCTGGAACTTTTTTTATTTGAGGTCCCTAGGTCCTAACTTAGAAAATGAGGTCAAGGTCAAAGGTCAAGGTCAAGTTCTAAATTTTGACTTTTGCTTATTTTTGCATTTTCTCAAACACTTTTAAAGGTATATATAAAAGAACAAATGTTTGCTTTATTGTAATGAAGATCCAATGTCATCTTATAGGAGTTACTGTCCCTGAAATGTTTAATTATAAGGTTAATTGATTATTACTTCTACTTGTTTCATTACAAAGCCATATGACCTTTTACAAAAGGTTGGGTGACATATGACCTTGAAAAATGACAATCGGAAGTGACCTTGAGAAAACCGGAAGTAGCCATTTTTGCACTTTTTTCATGGAAAAGTACTCAGAATCCATATTTTTTATAATATAGATACATAAACTTCTCACTAATGACCACGAGTGACTTACGATCAACCGGAAGTGGCCAATTATCTCCTGTTTTACAGACTAAAGTATATAGAAACTATATATTTTTGGAATCAGTTCGAAAGAAGCTATCATATGAGACCGGAAGTGACATTTACTTCACCGGAAGTAATTAATTATCTTCCTTATTTCACTCAAAAGTAAATAAAAGCCACTAATTTATCGTATCAGAATGAGGAAACTTATGATTGGATGCAAATTTTAACTGTAAGTAAACAGGAACTAGCTTGTTTTCAATAACTTTGAAAATTGATGTGGAAAGACCTTTCTCTGAACAATTGGTTTTTAATTTTTTTGTTTTTTTTTCCGCCTTATTTTGTTCTTGCGATAAATGTTTGTTTCGCAATATGTCGCTTAGATATTTTTCATATTGTATCGTATAGTTTATGCGCTTTTAAATTTCACCCTGCTAAGCCGAACCATTTTCTTTGTAAGAGTTATCTCCCTATTCACTGTTTATCATCTGTGTGCATCTCCTTCGTAACAAAAAAAGATATCGACAAAATTCTTTTTACAAATTGTTCGTTACATCCTCAGGAATTTTTGGCTAATTTAGATCGAAGCGATTCGATGAAATTTTATAGGAGTTATCTACCTTTACCAAATTAATTTGTCGGTATGTTTTTGAATCTCATAAACCCTTAGCCGTATATAACCCTAGAATCTTTTTATTTGAGGCCCCTGGGTCCTAACTTAGAAAATGTGGTCAAGGTCAAAGGTCAAGGTCATGTTCTCAATTTTGACTTTTACTAGTTTTTACATTATCTATGACACTTTTAAAGATACATATAAAAGAACTAGTGCAAAATGTTTGCTCTATTGTAACGAAGATATGATACATTTGGTCTGAAACAATGTAATGACATCTTATAGGAGTTATTGCCCTTAAAATGTTTTAATATAAGGTTAATTGATAATTACTTCATCTTGGTTCATTATGAAGCCATAGGGTCTTTTGAAAAGTGTTAGGTAACATATGGCCTTGAAAAATGTCAACCGAAAGTGACCTTGAGTAAACCGGAAGTAGCCATTTTTGCACTTATTTCATGGAAAAGGACTTAAAAACCATATATTTTTTGAATAGGCATACATTAACCTATCATTTGAGACCGGAAGTGACATTTTATTAACCGGAAGTAGCATATTATCTGCCTTATTACAGGCATAAGTATATATAAACCATATATTTTTGGAATCAGTGTAAATAAAGCTATCATTTGAGACCGGAAGTGACAATTTCTAAACCGGAAGTTGGCAAATATCTCCATTATTTCAGGCAAAAGTATATATAAACCATTTATTTATTGAATCAGTATACAGAAACCTATGATTTGATGCCAAAAGTAACTTTGAGTAAACCGGAAGTAGCTTCTTGTCAATTATTTAGAAAATTGATGTGGAAAGACCTTCAATTGTTCTCTGAACAATTGGTTTTTAATTTGTTTTTTTTATTTTATAGTTATTCAAAATGATAATCCTTAATATAAACATGATTACTATAATGATAAAAGATATCTCGATCTTTGACAGTTGTTATTAATCACCAAATCCAGTCTTAAGTGTAAAAATGACACATAAAGATTGAAATTTTCAGGATGAAAATAGCGTGGGGACGATGTGGAAAAAAGTATATGATTCATAAAATTTCTTATAACTGTTGATTGAAAAGAGATACGCAAGTTCGGTTTGTTGTAAAATCATATTTATAGGTTATAGTTTGGATTTGCCTATTTTTATTGTCGCTTTTTAAAATAATCAAAAGTGGAATATAAATCTCTTTCTCATTACAACCGGAACCCACATGCACGGCTCAAATAAATTATACTGTTCCTATAAAATTACCTACTCCTTTTTATGTGTGCACTATTTTTATTATAATCAGGATTAATTTTGCTTAGTAATGGTCTTCTGGTGGCATTAGCATATGTCTTCGTGAAAATATGTACACTAGGTTCCATAATTAGAACTACAAAAGTATTGAAATTTTGCTGTAAACACGAAGTTCACAAAAGTTCAAAACAATGTGGCTATATTTTTATGAGACCCGGGTAACTTTTGTTATATGAATTAATTATGAACTGAAATTGTAAACATTGTTTTTATTACACACTTATTGTTTTTATCAGGATTAATTATGATCTGTTAACCTTTGACACGTTGTTTTCTTAGCGGTCAAGTAAAGCGCCGGCATTTCGACTATATCTGGTTTATTTTCAACACTAATATATTGACTACTTATGAATAATTTTTCGTAAACAATATATATTTTTTGCATTTAAACTAATTAATTTAATAATTATCTATTTTATTTCAAATCCACCGATATTAACAGTATTATATATATGCTGACTTGTTTGCCGAAATCTATTGTTTACATTCATGTACCGAATGCTAATCTACTACATGACACGATAAGCTGTCAATCAAAACAAAAAATCAATAATCAGCTATCGGGGCAAAGGTCAAAGACGCTAAATTTGTTACTATATATAAAAATATTAATTTTCCCGAACCATTTAGGTCACGGAAATTCCAAAATATGGCATCAGTAAGGAGAGTTGTACAAATAATGTGAATACACAGAACCCCGATCCAATTCATCTTTTGCTAAAAATTTTCATCATTTTCTATTTTGTATGTACTAACAACATTCCATTTTTCTATTTCGATTAAAATGTGCCAAAACCTGCAGTTAAAATAGGTCACATGCCCCAAATAAACATTCCCCGATTGGTTGAACTACTGTGGCGTCGATGTAAAGCACACGCTTCCCAGGAATAAGGAGAGTTTTACAAATAATGTGAATACACAGACCCCCGACCCAATTTATCTTTTGCTGAAAATGATCAAGTGTTCATCATTTTCTGTTTTGTATCTGCTAACAACATTCCATTTTTTCTATAATTCCGATTTAAATATGTCAAAACCTGCAGTAAAAATAGATGGCCTCGATGATGCAAAGCAACGCAAAAAATTTCCGTTAATATGTTAACATGTTGAACTTCGACCCCGGGTTCAACCGGGGTTGATAAACCAATTCACAAATAGAGATCTCCTTGCGCTCAAATGTAATTCTTAGTGAAGTATACTGGCAACTTCTTTTACAGGAATATATACACATTTTATCATTAATATATTGTCATGCTTCTGCATATTCACTTTTGTTTCAGCTGAACTTTAGTTAAATTTAATTCTATACAAATTTTATTACGTCAAGCAATAGGAGTAAGAATATTTTTTCGCGCCAATATAACCTGCATCCCCGCCTGCATCAGTATTATATCGTAATTTTTCTGACATTTCATTTAAATAGCGTTTGACAATATAGGATAATTTTGGTAAGTATTACTTATTAATGTTAAGGTTCTCCAGAGGTGGTTCTCTAGACCTTCTTGACGGTCAGTTTAATCCCATTTATCAATTATCCCCGATGACAGAAATGTCAACCCAGTCGATTTGTGTCATGAGTGAAAATCTTATCTATTTGATGAACTAATTTCTTAATTAACTGTACATGCAATATTTTTGTATTATTTGATAACCAATCACATTCACTTTGCATGTTTGCATGATATATGGGTTATGTATGTGTGAATTGTGTAGTGTATTGTAAGGGCGATGCAAATTTGTGACGTCAGTGCGCGATCACGTGACATTATTATTTGTAAACAAACGGGCTCCCCATGTAACACGTGTCGGAATTATCCATACAAAGTGCAATCAATCTTATATTTCACTATTTTATGATATTTTTGTGTCTGTTTGTAGGTTTGCAGATCAGTAGTCAAAGTAAAATAGACAAAGTGTTATTGTTCCTGTTCTGAGTTGTGATTTTTTTTATATAGAATTAAAAGGTTAGTACATTAGTCATTATTTAACTTAAGTCTGAAAAGATGACCCAACTTTCCCTGTAATTTTTCCTCAATTTTTGAAACACGCATAATTTAAAGAGCATTTGCTTCCTTTGAACACTATTTCACCCCCTCTACGCCCCATTTCCCTCAAAATTTGCT